AAATTGGCGAACTTTACCACAAATGTGAATGATTAAAAAAAAAAAGCAAATATGCAAAGTTTCATGCAAATTGGAGAAGGTTAAGTCAATTTTATTATTATTATTTGGCCTGGAACTGCTCTATACGCATCTACGTGACAATAAAGAATCTCCTTCCAGCAACGTGATCGCACAATTGGTCAAAAATATGAGCCCCCAAACAGAAAGATGCCGCAATGAGTGGGGAGAAGATGCCACCCTTTATCCACGAAATGTTACCCGCAGGGAGTTGGCATTCCCACTATCCCCGTCCAAATCGCTTCAATTGGGTGCCCTGTTGGACCATCCCTCCCCTTTTGTATATGTATTTAAATGTTTATGTTATGTAAATGTTATACATAATGAATCATCACTAATGCGAGCCCATTGTTATGATTATTATCAATAATACTTACATTCAGATAAAGATGATGCTATCTATTTTACCTTTTATGTGATACTTATCATCACAGAATCTAACTTTGAATCGTAGACCATGTCCATTAACAATACACTGGTTCCGAGAAGGGGCTCATGGTACCACTCATCCTGTATAGTAATCTTCTTCTTCTTCAGGTTCGCTCACCACCCGAGATAAACGCTCGGTACGGTTATTAATATCAAATAGTGTTATATTCAAACGAAAAAAGAGATTAGTTTTTTAAAGTATTAGTTTCATCTGAATACCCAACTAACCAGATCGTATCTCAGTGAGATTGTCTCACTCTGAACCAACATTTAAAGTTATTATGTGATTACATGGTTACTTGGGAACTCACATAAAATGTTGTGCAAGTGCCACAAGTTCAACAACGCCCAACTATGGACAGCTCAATGCTTATCCCACAATCATCTGCTAGGAAGCACCAAAGAATATATAGAGATAAAGCTCAAAAATACAGTTTTCATCAAATAAAAAGGTTTATGTATGGTAAACACGTCCGGACATTAACGCAAATATGAGTATACATCTTCACTAATGAAATTACGGGTAATCATCGAAAGTACTTGCATTTTACTCAGGCACTTTTGAGCAAACTACAATCATCCTCTCATACTCGAAATGTGCCACGAACAACCAGGCACAACGATGCTCTGATTAACTTGCGTGCTCGAAATCATGCAGGTGAGCAAATACAACGAAAAAATAAACGAATTTCAAACTTTACCTCTCAGATTCCATAAAACTTCGCATAATTCCTTGCTAGTGGCAATGACCCAAGTTTGTGCTGTAATTCGGTCATTTTGTCTCTCGCCTAACTTTCCAAAATTAAATACTCGATAGTTTACAATAAATCATACCATGAAAATGGCTCATCTAATCGAAATGACGTCTGAGACAAAGTTGTAGGAAACTGGATTGCCTTTTCTCTACTTATGTTTGTTTGAAAGCTTATCAAGAATTAAAATTTCTTTAATATCAAGTTTTAGTCAAACGTTTGAACTTGTTTAAAGTAAGTAAGAAGTTGTTTAAGTAATTTGTGCAAAAGCAACGATTTTCTGAACCAAAAATGTTTTTCTCTACGGTTTACTGGTTTGCGTGAAATGAAATATTAGTTTACCCGCACCATTGTTTACATCACAAGTAAAATTCAGAATTTTTGGCTGTGTAGTATTGCACCACGAAACGGTGATCTACCCGCATTATGGGCTACCATTTACGGTAGAATCAGTGTTCACTCTGCTGTCGACAGAAGCAGACCACTCTCAATGTGTGTCACGCGATCTTCACTACAGCAACCATTCCCAAGTAACATTGCAAGTTTTATCGATGTTTTAAAGCATGCTACAAGTCTAAATCATGGTTTACAGAACCCTCAAAAAAACCAAATTGTTACTTGGATTGTGTGGTCCTCTTCAATGTTCTTCATCAGTAGGTCGATGTCGACTTTGGAAAGCAACCGTTTCGTGATGAATGTGTGAGTGCTGACCACGTTTTGCGTCCATTGCTGCAATGGAAGCGGTCTGACCCCCGTTGGCGAATCTGCCATACAAGCAAACCACTAGAAGTGGCTTCCGTTCTAGTGGAGGAGGCTTATTGGATAGCGGAGATAAAATGTTTATTGTGTTGTACCTTTTGACTATAGTTTTAAGATGTATTGTACCTATAGTGAACAATAATCCTCGGCTCTGTAAAGTTAATTCAGTTGAGGCTTATCAAATAAATTAATGAAAAAAAAAAATTACGGGAGAATATAAGAGCCGATGAAATTGTGTTTCCAAAATCGGGTAGCCACGGAATATAATTAAAAATTTAATAACAATCTAATCACACCATGACCCCTAACTGTGCTCACACCATGAGCACAGTTTTTGGTTGATGAACCAAGCGTCTCCATGACTTTTCAAGTCAATTACTCAACAACACGAAGCGCGCGGGTATTACACGTGATTCTACATATAAAATGTATCTACACTAAGCTGTTTGGGACATAATGCCACAAGCAGTAAAGGATATTAAGACGAACAGCATTCTCAAAGAGGCCATGACATAAACTTCTGACACCTTTCTAAAATAAGTGTTGTTGTTGTAAAGGTTTGATACACACTACGAAAATGTCATGTAAATTTAGGTTCCCTGAGACCGACACATGTAAGCGGCCCTTTTGCCATAAGAATCAGTTCAAAGAAACAAGAAAATCAATCCAATGAAACGTTCTCTTAGTCGATTTGCTTATGTTTCGGTTTGAGAACACTTAATTTTACATGAAATGTTTGTTTACGTTCCATGATTTACGTCCACTATGGATTACGTCTCGTGTAAAATTAGTTATTTCTAAGTGTGTAGTCCTGGTCAAATTCTATCAAAAATAAAACTTTTTGAATAATTTGATTTAGATTCAACTTAACTGTGTGCAAAATAAGCTTACAAGGTAAAACAAACCCAAGCACCCTTACAGCACTGTGATTCGCATTTCTATCAATGAAGACAAGATACCCACATCTAAGAACATCCAAAAAGGCAACCGCGAAAGAAGAGTTGTAAAGGCGTGTGTGTTACGGTAGTGTTTGTACTACACATACGCTACACAAGTCGTTAACGTCGTCGACGTCGGACCGACCGTCGTCGCGTTTCATTCACAGCACTCACCCACCCACCATCGACCACCGCTCGCTCCGCTCTGCTGGAGAGGAGTAGACCAAGCAGGGAATATCTAGTAAGAACTCCTCGCAAAATCTTGCCCTCTCAAATTGCAATCTAAACCTACTCAGTTGCGGCGAGCTTTCCTCTACTACCAGACGCGCACATATCGAGAGAGGTGTGTTCCCTGTCGGCAGCAGCAGCAGCGTGTTTTATGCTCAGATCTGTTTACGTATGGTGTGATTGAGTGTGAGTGCATTGAGACAAAATAACAACAATGAGCAGCACTGCAGGACAGTAGACAGTTCGGCGAATCGACCAGGAGGTCTGACTTTGAGAGCTACTCCAAGAGTGGTTCGCTGTATGCGTTGGTGCGAATAGGTCGGAATGAAACAGGCAACGATGATAGGGTGGGTGGTAATCTCCTAATGGGTAGCAACCAATACTATAGTCGTCGGTGACAGTAGTAGTAGAGCTGGAACATTTTTACCAGTGATGAGAATGAACGGGTAGAGTTTTCCCAGCAGCACGTGTGTTGAGTGCTTCGTGGACGAACCAGAACATTTGCTTCGATTGTTGTACACTCGCTCTAGCGGGTGCTGTGTTCTTGGTCATGAAATGGTGTTGGTGTTTGAAAATATATACATATACATATTGTGGAGTTTCGGTTGCAGCTCGACAGTGTTACCATTTTATATTCAACATATTTCTTAAGCTATTTGTTAACCCTTTGTCTGTACCACTAAAAAAAATAAAGCTTAAGTTCAATGGGAAAATCCTTCAAAACGGGTTTAAATTATATTCGAAATATGTCTCAACTAATAGCCAGGTATATCAAGAAGACTTTACCATGCTAAAATGTCGGAGAAATCGTTTTGATGAATAATCTGGATTGCGAAAATAGCCTGGGGTCATATTGACCTTAAGTTACATACAAAGGGTTAATGATGGTCTGTATGGTCTGGTCTAATAAGTTGAATATTTTAAAAGATATTCTTCCTAGTTCTAGCATGAGCAAAGTTTTGAGTCATATTCTGGCACATTGAGCTTATAAGTATTATCATTATTTCACCTTATTTTACTTTATGACCTATCCCAAGCAACATTACAAGTTTTATCGAGATTTCGAAGTATTCTACAAATCTAAATCAAACCCTAAATTAAACCCTCATAAAACCAGAAATGTTACTTGGACGGCGCCTTTACTCACTGATATTAATTCCCTGAAGTAGCTTCTAGTAGCTCATCACTACGTGACAGCACATACGTTTTGTATTTATCTCAATCATGCACATTATAGTTGGTGCTGAATTATGTTAAACACCCTTGTTCGAAATTTCCAATTACTTACCGATAATTTCTACCTACTGAGCTTGCGGAAGAATGTTAATAAAATTCAAACGAAATGTATAGAAATGTGTTGTTTTGCTTAACTAATTTTTTTTTTAAATTGTGCACCAACTTCAAAAACGAGTTATCTAGCAATAACTACATTCAAATCGGTTGCAAAAGGCAAGACATATTTTGGGATTTGCAAACGACTAGTGCACATGTAGATTGAGGTTAGAGTAGTGGGAAGAAATATTAATTTGTATGTTTGGCCTCCACTGAAACCGAGCCATCTGTTGCAGTATAAAACTTTGAATCATGTCCTATTGCAACTGATTAAAGTCGATTAAAATTTTCGGCAGCCCTGCTCGCTCCTGGTAGGCATTCTACGGAGCAGATAACGCAACTGTAGTACTCTGGCTATTCTCCTATACCCTCAATTTACGAGCGCAGCGTAGATGACTCTTTTTATGTTTTCCCAAATTAAAACATCACTCACTCGCTGGCCGTACGCTCAGATTTGCACCGATTGCCGGAGAGTGAGGACCAACTCGCACCGCACCGCACCGATTGTTGTTTAGTCTGTGGAGCATAACATATCGCGCTGAGCTGTTGTGGTTTGTTGATGTGCTAGCTAGGGGCTGACGGCCTGATACCACCAATCTGTGTGTACAAGGATTCGCCATAAGAGTACGAGTTCCTATTGAGAAGTGTAGTTGTACAACGTGGCGTGCACTTTCTACCGATAGACGAGAGACTGCGGCTGAGATCCCGTGCTCGTTTGACATCGAAACGCATCGTCGCCGAGAGTGCATAAAGCGATGGACACATCATAATACATACAGAAGAGAACACGTGCCAAACTGGTGGTGGTGCGCTTTTCCCGATGCTGTTCCTCTATTAGTGCTGTGCTGCGTTGATGTTGGAGGTATTTTGACGTGCTGTGACTCTGCTCTCCGTGATGGCTACAACATACTGATGCTGCGTGCATCTCGAGTGCAAGAGGCCAGTCGTCGGAGGAGTGTCAAGTGCTTTGTAAGGCAGGACTTGCGCTAGCTGGACAGCCAGTGGCGAGAAAGTGTTTTGCGGACGCACTTTCCGTTTTGTCTCTAGTTAATTCGGTATTTCTTGAATTTTCGAACCGGAACCGGACACTGTTTTCTGTTTTCCAATCCTTGGTTGTGCTGTTTTCGAAGGAACTGGCAGTTTGCGCGCGTCCGGAATGTGTGAAAATTGGTGAAAATATCCGATAGACGGCCGTCTGGAAGCAGTGTTTTGACGGGAGTTGCCATCGCGAGGAGAAGTAGAAAATTCGCTCATTTGTTGATTCCGCGGTCGAGGAAGCAAAATTAGCACCAATAATTTCGGGGGAACTGGTTTTGACAATCGTTCGGTAAAGTGCAAGGGTGAATCGCAACAACCGGGAAGTGTCGTTTCGGAACCGGATTGTGAAGAGGATAGGCAATTTTTCTGATGCCTGACCTAGCGCCACGAAGAGAAAAATACTTGAAACGGAAAAATCGATAAAATTTTATTGCACCTAAAACAGACAGCATACACACAGCCTCAGTCATTTTCGCCTTTGTTGTTGTTTTTCTTGTTTATGTCTATGGGCCAAATAAACTTTTGAAAAATCCGATAAAGTGCATGAATCTGATCAACTAAACAAATACCGGTTCGAGCTGGTTCATAATCGGTTTACTCTATTCTTCCTTTGTTCGGTGATATTTTGAGTCAGCTTTTTATCTTTTTTTTTATTATTATGGCAGACCGCCAGTGATAACAAAGATAGCGCGGATAAAATAAGAAAGCAAGAAGAAGAAAAGGAAGTTGCTACTTGTCAGAATAAGCGGAACGAGGGAACACAATAAGAAGAAGACGCATCGAGTGCCGGCCAAACTAAACAAGACAAAATAGAACAAAAGTCTACCTATAAGGAGTAACTATGCTCAAGTATTTAACGCACAAACTTCGCACACAATCAATCAACGATGAACACCCAGTCAATGAGAAGGTAAGTGGTCGGTCTTTCCAAAAGGGTCAACTGCAACCGATCGCGCACTAGGTCAGTGTTTCGCATTAATCCTGCCCGTCACCCGTTTCGGGGTGAGTGCTACTTTTGTGCAACCTGGAAAAATCATCCATGTTGACGCCATTTTTGATTTTCCTTCCTACTCCCCCTGCCATCGCCGACGTCGTCTGACTGTCTGTCAACTCTGGGCCAGCGCTACTATTTGCACCACCATTGACTGTGTGTATGTAGGAAACAAAAAAAAAACAGACACAGACAGCAGTTTATCTGACAGCTAGTGAGTGCCTGATCATAGAAATCACGACGACCGATTGGCAGATTCAGACCAGAAAATGTATCGGTTAAGTAATGGAAAAGCGCACTTTTCCAAACTATGTTATGCTGTGAAATCGTTGCTCGGTGGGGTTTTCTATGACACATACGCGACTGTGGGTGTAAATGGCGGTGCAAATGTGTGCGTTCCGCAAGCTGTGAGTTGGCACAGATACATGGACACCGACGTGCGGTTGCCGTGATACGACACACGAGTATCAGTAGTGTGATCGAAGAAATGACAGCCAATAAACATACTCTTCAGCAGAGGTAGATGAATGTCAAGAAGGGGTTTGATTTATTCCTTCAATTATCAGTTGATTGATGGAGGTGAAATTTGGTGATAAACAGTAGCAAACATGCAGTTTTTTTAATGTTTTTTTTTTTATAAGTTGCGTCAATATTGGCTTTTTTTTTATTATTCAAGGTTTAACAGTGATAATTAATAATCAATCAGATCACCGAACAAATAAACATTAAAATTAATAGCATAAAGATCCAAGGTGACCTTAACAGTCACAAAAATGAACGTCGTTATCTATGCGTCACCAGAAGCACATTTGAAACATTTTCAATAACCGTTATATTTGTTTGACACAAAATGATTCAGTTATTGCATTCCACAAAAAGATTAGCATCTCCCTGTAAAATATTAAAGCGATATCATTTTAAAGACCATTCAAATCCATTCAAGCAAATAGATCTTTTCCAGCAAAGATTGTGAAATAAAAATGCCCTTTCGAATTTTCTGTCAGGTGCAACATGGACACGATGAAGCTGTAGATTGTTGATCTGCAAGGAAATGCATGGTCTTTAATGTTATTTATGTCATAGATTTCCCCATCCTACTTATTTCTTTTGTTTCTCCCTGAAAATCCCTTCCTATCCAGAAGTTAGGCTAATTTACCGTACATCTAACACAACAGCAGTATTCAGTTTTATGAAACATTAGATGCGAAAAGCGTGTTCATTTACGGTAAGTTTGCCTATACCATTTGTGGCCCGCTTACTTTATTGAAAAAGTGGACTTATCTGGACGGAAAATATCTTTTAAAACTCATGCTTAACTGATTCATCGAATATATTACTCAAATAAAGGTTGATCACGAAAACATCCGGACACGAAAGTTTGGTTGGAGTTTAAAAATGCTCAATGTAACACCTATACATTAGTAGGTATTATGCTTACTGTAAGACCATTGTTTCAGTCTACCTTCTTACCATAGCCCATTGCTAGAATTTTTCTTCGTACGCGGCCCATCATCTTTTGCACGAGCCCTGTTCCCACTTGCTTGGCTGTCAAACTCTATTTCCGCTTGAAATCCTTCAGGTCAAGTGTAGTTCTACTCTTTTTCATCATTATGTGATTCACAATTGAACAGTATTTCTTAATTGGCCTTAATGTTGGAGTATTGGCCGGATTTATCTCCTTGGGAACCACTTTGACGCCATTTCCGCTGTACAACTGTTTGTTGGAATTTGAGTACTGACAGCTTGTCAAGTCCGGCCAGAATAGGCACCTCATGTTGCTCCAGAAAAGACAGTAGTCTCTTCCGTAGGCACTCCTCCTGGTAAAATTTGCTGGTTCATGGTTCCAGAAGTAATGACAGTTTAATTTTTCAGCCCAAAATTGCAGATTGTTTGCCGGACAAGGATCTTTTTGGGGAATGTCGACTTCTTTTTGATTTTACATTCTTCCAGGACACTCTTCCGATCAACCGAAATATAAAATTCCTGCTCAGGAATTTGATCGAAAACTGCCAGGCAGTACGTTTCGTCGACTTTCGTTTCGAGCGTGCAGGATCGAATTGTGACGTGTTTGCTCCGGTGAAGCCATGATGTATGACAAATGAACTCATCCTTACAACAAACAAAATGGTTGGTTCGTTAAACTCGAAAAGCTCTTCGACAGCCGTCAATGCACAATAGCACGCTGTCAAATAAACAAAGAGTTATTTGGGAAGCAAAATTTGAATGTTATCTCAATGGACCATTGTGGTAAATTACACAGAGCTTCGGCATGCTGTGACTGCTGTCGACAACTAACATTAAACCACAATATCCACTGGCTTACTTCGCTATTTTTTTTTCCTTTGGTTTGTTTTCCGTCGATCTTGTTTTCCGGTTGAAAACCAATGCTACCGACGACGCCAGGGAGGCAGCTCCCACACACGAACTCTACCTATCGACTCATCAACTCCGGGGACCAGCGGATTTACTTCCCCCCGAAGGAAGGCGTGATCAGAGATGTTATGCCTCAGAACATCCCGGCGGCGCCGACTGGGATTGAACCCAGGCCTGCTGGGGTGAGAAGTAATCACGCTGACCACTACACCACCGGTGCCACTGACTACTTCGCTGAATGTATTTCATAGTGTTTAATCATCCATTTGTTTCCATTTATACGGCTGAGCTCCCCGTAAAATCGGGTTTTTCTTTAAAAGCTCTACCAAATGCTGCTGTTTATGAGTTTCCGAAAATACAGCCGTCCGACGTCTAACATTCAGCAAAAAAAAAAAAAAAAAACAGAGGAACAGGCTGCGAGCAATAGTAATGGCCGTTTTCAAAACAAGAACTGGTCAATCTGAAGCCTTTTAATATATCCAAAGTAATCCATTAAAATCCTCGATCCGCTGAAGATAGTTCTTGATCAACCTGCCATCTTGGGAGAATATCAGCGTTTGAAAAGGTTAAGAACTTCAGAATGAAGTTTATCAACCTGAAGTCTTGAAAAAGGAAGCAGAGGACTCAGACTATACTAGCGAGAATCTTCAGAATTGTACTTGATCAATTAGGAATCTTTCAATTAAATCTAGAGAACTTTATAGAAATCTTCGAATAGCTGGAGATCCTTTAAATTCTTCCATGTATAGAAATATTATCTACGAAATATGAAATTTTAAGCTGTTTAGGATATTCAGAATAATATTTAACCAATCTTATCATTTACCATTTACTTTGAAAAATATCTAGAGGAACTTTACCGAAGCTCTCTGAGCCTGAAGTTTCTTGAATATGTGAGAAGTTCTGTGAAATCCTGCTTTGGACACTCATTTGAGCTAACAGTCATCGTCAAGACAAACCATATCAATTATCAATGACAATGCTGTCAGTGACGAACATGTGTAGAGTTTTTAATTAGCTAAATTTGTAACGATATTAAATTACATTGAGCCGTTAAAGTGAACAAGCATCTACGTTCTTAACTACTTGGATATCAATAATGTGACACATAATGCACGAAATTACACTTTTTGTTTTGAATCTTTATTATTGACGCAAAAATTATTGAGATTTTGAAGATGGTTTTTTTCGAGGATCAAGTTAGTGACTTTGTGAAAAACAATTTTGTCAATATCGCTTGAAAGTCTGTCAATGACTATGACAAATTTCAGCACTGCCTATAACTTATCCACTGTCCCTAGTTTCTACGAAGCTTATCATTTTTTCCTTGCTTTGTCAATGTGACCAAGATCTCAAAATATCCAATGACAATTTCCAATGTTTCTGGAAGACCCTTTACCTTTTTGCGGATTCTCCTGAATATATGTGTGACATAAAGTTCCAAAACTTCCAGGAAGTTCCAAAAATAGTTCTTAGAAGTTTGCTGAATTCTAACAATATTTCCTCTGAACTCCTACGAAGTTCACTTTGGTTTAAAAGAGTTAAAATTGGCATAATTCGCTCAACTTCTGTAATATAAATTAGCTTCACTTCTATCAACCTTCCCGAACCTAAAATTCTCTGTATTACAGATTTGCATGAACAAGTAAAAAGTGTGTGCAAAAGTATGCATAATTTACAATGTTTCGCGACATGAACAGATACTGAAATGTGGTCGACGGAAGGGTTTTCATATAATTCTAAAAAATCATCTCGTGCAGGTTTTATGCAAAAATATGAGTTTTGGAAAAACTTGCTTCAACGCTGGAGTCCATTGCAAGAATTGCCATTACATTTGTTGTATGAAACATATGCAGACGATTTAATAAATCCAACCTTACATTGGATGTAGGAGAACTTTGTTTTGCGTGCAAGCGTGATCTGATCCATATATACCTTGTCGGATACTCTACAGTGAGAAACATCAAGCTTTGTGTCATGCATACTTAATTTTGAACAATTTGTTTTTCTTCATTGACACATTTTACTCGGAATTCCATGTAAGTTATCGGAAAAACGTTACCACGATATTAGTTTTGATCTTCCATATCCTAAAAACACTCCAATTTGTTCAACGTTTCCCATTTTCATGATTCGACATGGTAACTGGCCGTTTGCAGGCAAGTCAACTAAATGAATCATTTTATTCTTTTGACTGTCTTACATGCAACCTACCAGTTACCGCAAACGATCAATTACATTGTACATTACTTCAATGATATAATGTAATTTTACCGGTATTATAACATCGTAATCATCGCAACGCTGCGCTGCCAATGTAAATCATCATCATCATCATCATCATCACTTTCTTATTTATTAGACTGACATTACGATAATCTCCGCTCCGCTTCGATGGGATGACACGTACCTAAGAAATTGCATTCACCCCGTTCGATGGCTGTTGTCGTTGCACCGAACGCTGCATAGTTTTACCCACCTACCCTACATACCTACCCACCTACCGGGAAAAGGAGGACGTGCACCTGAACACGAGATTCAGCACG